ATCGTTCGCTACGACGACGAGGGTGGGGGAGAGGAAGACACTGAGGCCTTCGACATGGCTGCGCTCAGGAACCTCAACGTTATCAGAGATGCCAAGACCAGGAGGGACGTGACTCCCGAAATTCAGTTCTTGAGTCGGCCTGCCTTCAAAAGCATCCCAGATAATGTCATTTTTCGGGAGTTTATCTGGGAGAGACTGAAAGAAGCCGACGTGGATCCCTGTGCCCCACCTTATGACTCCTTGCAGACATACGCTTTTGAAGGCAACGGCTCGGTGGCCGAATCACTCAGCTCGTTAGAGTCCATCAGCTCGAACTCTGATCAGAATTACGACTACCTGAGTGACTGGGGGCCTCGGTTTAAACGGCTTGCAGACATGTATGGAACCGGCCAGGAGGGTTTGTACTCCTAGCCCTGGAACCTTTCTTGGAAATGTACTGAAGAAAAAAGCAAAAGCAAAAAGCAAAAAAACAAACAAACAAACAAAAAAACCCACTTCGTACAGAAAACAGGAACTCCACTTGCTCAAGAGAATGGATGTAAATATTTCTCCATTTTTAACTGTCTAGGTCTCTGCCTTGGTGAAGCATATCTTCGTGAGATCTATCCAAGGGACTGCAGTGACCACAGACTGAGCATTTGAAGGCTTTTTGATAAAAAGAAATGCTCAGAGGTTTGTGAATAGATAGCAACTCTCAGATACCTGCAAGGCACCTAAGCTCTGTGAGTAAGTAGGGCCCTGTGTTGTCACTGAACACCGGATGCCCTGTACATATACCGTCATGGTACAGCCAGTGAGAGGAATAGAACGCCATGTGCCATGGAAAAGTCCTGGGACTTCTTGCAAATCAAAACTTGGGACAAATTTAATTTACAGTGACGCTTTTAGCTTGCTGGCTTATAAAACCCAGCAGAATTTTATTGCTGTTGATTAGCAAATACATTTTATTTAGCAATATATCAATTCATAGAAAATCCTCCCCAATCCTCCAATCCAAGCCAATAAAATTTGGTATAAGGCAACATACACTGTTGTTTAGCAAATAAACTATGAAGTGTTCCAAATAAGAACAAGTAAATCATTCTTAAAGTTTGCAGTCATTTTGAGATGCTTGTGTAGGTATGAAAGAAGTTGCTGTCTATTCCTTGATTTTTATTATCTCTTCTGATTTGTACAGGAGAATATCTTTTCTTTTTTTATTTGACACGTGGTGTTATATTTATTTCAGAGCTCTGATCTCCTCTAAATTCAGGTCCATCTTACTGCCTCATAGTATTAAGTGGGTCGGAACATGCTGATTTTTCTCCCGTCTGAGCTACATCAAGGAAATGAAGCACGAAGATGGAGGGGAAAAAAAAAGCTCAATTAAGCCCTGTTGAAGTTTGCATTTCAGAAAGGATAAAGCTACAAGGACATTTAAGTTGTTCCTCTGAGCCATTAGAATGTACAAAACATTGGAATAAAATATTTGTATTTTAGAAAGATTTCAGAGAGAATTGAGATTTTCTTTGATGCAAGATTTATTTTTTAAGGTCACATGTTCTATATGCTCCAAAGACTTTCGAGAATTTGTTTTTCCCCCAACCTCTTCTGCTACAAAATACTGAGTAAAAGACTCAATTTTTTTATCCAGCTCAATGTTAGAAATTTCAAGTTCCATCTTTCAGTTCTGATGCATATATGTTCCTCAAGCATTAACCAAGCAGTGTTATCTTTTCTCTACTGGTTCGGATGTGCCAAAGTGAGAAGAGTTTCAAGTGATCACATGTTTGAGTTTGAAATGGCTTCTTAAAAGAATTTTTTGATTAAAGTAATATTTCCACTTACCATTTTTTTCCCTAGAACACTACTAGTTTAATGTGCATATTTCAAGTAGAAAGATTTTATTTTTTTCTCTCCTTTCTCTTTTTTAAAAAAACTTATTGTTAGGTTCCTAATAAATCTACAGATAGTAGACACTGTACAGGAAGTCATGTTCTACAAGTACTTTTTCCTGAAAGACACACTGGAAGCAGAATATTAATGTTTGGATTCCATGAGGAAAACACATAGGATTACGTAACCTTGCAGCCCACCTTTAGAAATGAAATATGTGGAAGTGGCCTTAGCTTCCTCAAAAATAAATACATGAGTAAATTTGACTCTTTGCCCATAGTCCTTTCATTTGAATAAAGTTTTGTAGACATTGTTTCATGACTAGATAGATACACTTCTGGCTGTATTAGTATGCATATATATGAAAAATCTATTTTATAACAAAATAAAATATTCTGTTCATGGCATATAGTCACATATTTAAGTTTTTCAAATTAAAAAAAAAGTACACTCACCCACTTGAGTAAAATCAGAATGTGGTGCAGGGATTAGATAGGTGTTAAATCAGCAGGGTGCTATAAAAAGAGTTTTGTAATAATCCCCTTGTTCTCTCTGCAAGAAGATAAAATAGTGCAACCTGGATTATGACATCAAAATTGCTGATTGTTGCACATACTAGTAGAGATTTTGGTGTATTTGTAAAAAGGAACATCATTCGCCTTTCATTTTTGAGGTATATATTTTTTTCTTGCTTTTAAATTTCTTTTTCTATTTACCAGTAATAGTTGGGAGAAGAAAGGCTCAAATCTAAATTAAGATTTGAAATTCTTGCATGTTCGTAATTTCTATTTTATGTGTGGACAGTTATGTCAGCACAGTATTGACTTTGATTCAATTATATTTTTTTAAAAAGCTTGACATGGCTGGAAGAATGTTCCTATATGGAATTTCTATGAAGCACTCTAACTAAACTTTAATTGTAATACCAGTGAGTCTGTTAATTTAGTTTTCCTTTTTTCTTCTGAAATCTAATACTATATATGACTATCTCACATAATATTTACGAGATATGCTGTATTTTAAAACCAGAGACTGGAACAGCTGATGGATAAAAATGAATGTTTATGGAGAACCAGGAGATTCTCTAAAGATACTTAGATGAATGCCTGTTATTTAGTCAGTAAAATTGAGTGAGGGACTGGCACCAGCTAGAACAAGCTACCAAGAGTCCATAAGGCACATCTCTTCCCTGCTCCAGTTGCAGTGATACCATTTTGGTAGGTTGAAATCAGCTGTGATTTAGACCTCAGAAATGAGCAGATACCACTTTTTTTCCCCCGAAGAACCAGTTGTTAAATGTTTACCAACACTACACTGCTTAAATTACTTTATAAAAGGAAACCTCACAGCTGTAAATACAACATGAAGGACTAGAATATCAAATAATGACATGAAAGGAATTCACTTTCCTAATTCAAAATATAGATGCATGTAGTATCCTGGTATCAAATCTTTGGAGCTACAAGTAGAAAGGGGAGAGGGTCCACTTTGTTACGGGGAAGCAGTGGCATTAAGTCAAATTTAGGTATTTTCCATTTGTTCATACGGGGGCACTGTTAAAAACTCAAGTCCACAAAGTAATGCATATTTTGAACAATTCTGAAAAATTTGCATTTCACCTGTTACTATCCATGGAAGTATGCCCAAGCCCCTAGTTTGAATTATCATTATGTAATTTTAAGTCAGCATAAATATAAAAACCAAATGAAGAAAGTGGACATTAGCAGATCGAGTCTAAATTATCGTTCCGAGTTCACAAACCAGATTCTGTGTTAAAACATCACACAATCAACTGCACACCAACAATCAGAAAGGAGACAGCAAGAAATGATTCTCTGTGGAGACACTGAGTACATCTTTCTACAAGCAATTCTTTAGATAAGCCTGGTAAATTTTTCCTTTGACATGAAGCTCTGCAGAAACTGACTACAGTCGTAGTTAGAGTGACTACAGGAAATCAGCAGGAAGTCATAATGTTTAGGAAATGATAGCTATCTTTCACTCTGCCCTCTGAGAATGTGTTAAATTATATTAACTTCATGCGCAACCACATGCACTGGCTACACGCTGAGCAGGCTTTAGCAATTACTCTCATGTAAACAGTGTGTAGTTAAACCAAGTGTGGGTGGTATTTGTGTTGTGGCCCACGTGCCCAAAACAGACTGTTAGCATTATATTCAGATATAGAAATCTCAAGAAGTGTAAATGAATTACATTCCAAGAGACAAAATCCATCTAAGTCTTAATCTTCAAATTTTCAATTTCAGTTTGACATCTATTGACTTACAAACTGCTTTAATTTCCCTAATTGTTTTTAAATCACCATTTAAAAGTTTATTTACAGTTGATCTAATTAAAGTTGATTGAAAGAAAGCTTCAACTTTTAACTCTTTCTGGCCAGGGATGGCTGGATGCCTGTGTGATGTATATGACAATTGATAAGGAAATTCATTTTCTGTTGGTCTGTTGTTTATAGGAACTTAAAGATAGAGTCATTTTTAAGTGATGAATAATGTAAATTGTGTGTATATACAATGGTATATGAAAGTTTGTCAGGGAAAACCAATATAATAATGTTAGCTGACTAATCATCATTGTAATCACAAGAGTAAGAATAATAGCATTTTTCTAGTCTGAGTGATACTGAAATTGTTTTGGAGGAGAGGGATAAACCCTTAAGAAAAAATGGGAGTTATTGAGACTGTGATTTGGCAGGTATTTTAAAGTATAATTCCAGGGGTAATTTTTCAAACAAAACCGAGACAGCCAGTGTGTGATGTTCTGACACTTTTTCATCATTATGCTAAGCTAACTGGTACTAGCTCAGAATGTGTGTGTGTGTGTGTGTGTGTGTGTGTAAGAGAGAGAGAGATTGAGGGGCACTGGGAAGTATGTCTGAAGTGACCTTAAAAGTCTAATATTACCTTGTAAATGCCACTATTTTATTGTCATTTGGCAAGCGCCTGCTAGGCCATAGACCACAAAGTCTTATACTGACTGAAGGGAGAGAGATTTTGTTTTGCTTTGAAAATCTAATTTAAATAAAGAGAAGGGTTTTGGTACTAAATGGAGAGCATTTGGCTGAACTATCTAAATAATTGCCTCATTTTATTTTTATTGTATAGATGCAGTCTCATTGTTAACTCGGACTATGGAGTGGGAGCTGCTTATTATGCAATGTCAGCGAGGTCTGGCCTTTTTTAGGGTCTATGTGGTGTACTGGGAAGTACCCCGGCTCTGTGGTGGTAAAATCTGGGTCAGAAGCCAGTTCCAGCATATTTTTACTGTGCCCTGATTGCCATTCTAATTCTCTGAACCTTTTTATCTTCATGATTAAAATTGAGTTAATTACTATCCTGTCTACTTCAGAGGCTTGTGAGATGATTAAGTGAAAGTGCTGTGTAAACTATAAAACTGTAAAAAAGTAAGGCTTTATTATGGAAAATTATGGAAATTATTCAATAAGTTTGATTATATGTATTGTTATCTGGCAAACACAGATAATTTCTGTTTTTGGAAATACGCATTAAGGAAAATAACCACGCAATTAGTATCCTAAGTTGGGAAAGAATATTCAGACACAACTGGCGTAATTACTGAAGCCAGCACTCAAAAATAGTCATTTTATAAGGTCTATAAAGGTTAGGGTCTCATTCAAACTAATTCAGTCATTGATAAAATTAAGGATTATCAGCATGGGCAAAAATTATAAGCAAAGAACAATTTCTTCCCACTCACAATGAAGACTGAATGACGAAGGCCTTTAGCTATTCCCTGTCTCATTACAGTTCTCAGACAGTGGAATAGAAGCAACTATTAAAATGCCATAATGAGTACACATGAGGTGACCTTCGGATGTTCAGAGGAAATAGAGGTTCTAAGGAATTCAGTAACTGTGAACCATGAGTGGCATATGCATAATTAATTATTTAAAACACTTTTAAGAATTGGAATACAATAATATTTCCTGAATATGAAAACCATCCTGTACTCTTGTTCTGATTATCTGAAAGCACTTACAATATTCAGTAGATTTTCTTTGCCTTTTATTAATGAAGAAGCCATCAGAGATTAAAAACTAATATACCCAAGACACTACTGCTTTGTCAGGGCTGGTCTGCTCATACAATGAGTGTTAATAAACCTACTCATCTCTGTTTGAAGCTCCTATGAACAGGCATTATAAACAAATACGTGAAGAGCTGTGTTACTACTGAGGTTGTTGAGAAGATAACATACACTCAAAAGCAGTCTCATTTTCATTGAATTAAATTATGATAATGGTTTGTATTTCTGTAAGAGGAAAAATTGTATGCTTTACTACCTTACTGCTTCAAGCTGTATTTTTTTGTGAATATAAACACTATGTTTTTGTACATTAAGATCTGGGATATGTAGTATGTTGAGTATGATGAACACGTCAAAAATAATCCAACTTTTTTTAAAAAACAGACCAGATAACTAGATAGCAATTGCATTTTACCTGTAATAGTAATTTTAAAGGCGGAAAGGGAAAGGAAAAATAACTCACTATACAACTTTATATTAGGCTTCAAATTGCATATATATTATATACTTACAGAATTACATCTGCTGAGCATACACACATGCACACAATTTGAGACTAAATGTTAAAATGAAGCACACGGGTTTTAACATTTTGTTTTTATTTAAGATAATTAGGGCTATCAAATCCAATCTCTACAATTAAATTATGTGTACGTGCTTTTAAAATATTGCAATTTTGTAAAGATACTCTTTATTATAGATTTCAGAATTTCTCAAAATTTAGAGAAAAGAGCAATTCATATACATAAAATATACAGCGTAATTGCCATAAAACTGTATTCATGATGTTGTATTATAGTTGTATTAAAAATAATCCATTTTTTCTACAATGTTTTTGCTTACTTGAGTCACTTGAATACATAGACATAAAAGAGTTTCAAAAATGCTAATTCAATTGACTGCAAAATCAATCCTGAAAATGTAGTTTCATTTAGCCTTGGAAAGGAGACACTGAGTAAAAACTTGAGGTCTGAGTGTATGTCAGAACCCGAAGAGATTATTTTCGTTCAGCTCAAGCACTGCCTTTCAGGCAGAGAGTCTCCTAGAATATTAAGTATTAGCCTCTTTTTTTTTTCTTTTTTAGCAGATAGAGGAACTAAAGCACCGTTTCAGAACTCTACAAGCACAGAGCTATATACAAAGTGCCCAATGAATGTGAATCAAGTCAGGAAATCAGGCAATGATAATAGGAGAGCTAGTTTATTGCCACATTTTCTTGATGTGTGCTGTGTATTAAAAAAATAAGAAACAATGTTGCAGATTAAGTTATTATCATAGGAAATAATTTCCCAAATTGCTGACAACTCAAAAGACCAGAGACACTGCAGAGGCTGCTCTGATGGTCTTCATCCTCCACTGAAATGGGATGGTAATGCTGCCCCGGCTTCCAACTTAACACCCCTTGACCACTTGGTACAGAAAAGGAGCCTGTGGTAACTGAAGTCTGATGTTTTCTCTAAGTGACTGACTTTTTACATACAATTATCTTAATAATAATGTTCCACAGACATGTCATCTCACAACAATTGAATGTGATACATGATTTTCATTTTTTTAACAAGCCCGTGTGAATTGCCCAAAGAAGGCATTGTGGTACCTTTTTTAATAAAGAAAAATTGAAGCTCAGAATAATTAGAACTTATCCAAGGAAACATTTAACAGGTGATAGAGATGAAAGAAGAAAAAAGCCTTAAGATACTGTGCCCATTATATTTCCTATCATCATAGACCTTCAAGAAAAAAAATGGTGTTCCAATTTGGGGGATAAGAAGAGAATTGAAATTCATTTCAAAAATCAGACTCTCCAATCTTAATTAGGCTTTAGTTTCCTGACAAGGAGTGTTAGACTTTTTTTTTTAATCCTAATTGGAAAATGGCATGAAATTCTGTGTTAAAATGTGTTGAGGAAATCGAAATATTTATATTGCCAGTAAACTGAAACTCCACCACTATGTTCCTAGCCATGCCTAGTACCTCTCCGAGGGGGTCCGCTGTCTGGAGAATGCTCATAGCACAGTAGTATGGCAGACTAGATAATCTCAGGGTCACTCTCTGCTGATTCCTACACCTCTTACTGCATCGTTGGCTCATAAGAGTATAAGGAAAATCTCAACAAGCTCTATACCTTTGCCAAATGAAATAAAGAAAAATTTAAAACCAATGAACTGGACACCACACAGGTGAACTGTACATAAGCGGGGCACACTGAAATATCCCCAGTGACGGCTGTCTGCTCAGTGCTGGGCTTGTGGAAGGCACCAAGGCCCCTCCCTCAGGCCAGGACCCACGAAGCTACTGACATCATTTGAGGCCAGTTGTGCGCCCAGCCCCCAGCCAAATGTATGTTCAGTCAAGTATGAATGAACAATTAAAAATCACCAAACACAAGAGATGACATTCCATGAATGAGACAGGTCACAAAAACCCCAAAGAGCTTCAGATATTATAATTATCAAAAACATTAAAAAAATGTATAAAAGATTTAAATGAAAGAATAAAACATGAATAATATATAGATTACCGATGATGGATATATACTTGCAGAAGAACCAAATTGTACATTTCCAAGTTATTAATACAGTCTTTGAAGCTAAAATGTGAGTAAAGAGAGTATATGCTACAGTTGACACTGCATAAGAGAGATGTGATAAACTAAAAGATAGATTGAAAAAAAATTACATAGGCTGCAGGAAAAAGAAAAAACTGAACTCTATACAACAAGAAGTATAAAATGTGGAATTCTAACATGCCTTTACTTATTGTGATCTCTGTTACTCAGAACTTCAGTGGAATGTTTAAGTGCCTTATCTAACTCCCACCTTTCATGGTTGCACTTTCCCTGAGACCTCGCATGCCTCTGCCTTTAGAGCAAGCAGTATCCACTCTTCACGACACAGATTGATTATTCAGCTTAGTGATCCATTTAACAAACATTGTTATAAATGTATGAAGCCTCAATTCGAGGAAATAGAAATTGTGTACATTCATCAGAACTCATGGCACACCTATGAGAAGTGAGCAACACACCTAAGCATTTTGAATTAAAGTCAGATTATTAAATAGAGGCTCTGTTTTAATTTATCTTTTCTCTCTAGGATGTTTAAATGATTCATCTGAGGTCACTGCAGATCAATGTGAAGCCCTGCATTTTTCCCCTGATAGAGAGTGGGTTTGTTTAGATTGGACAGAAAGGATGAAATATAATAAAGATGTAAGTGGCGTAAATCAAGATACGGTTATTTCTCTTCCAAGTACTCATCCTATCCTCGTGGCCCCCAGAGTCCCTTCATCAGTGTGTTCTACAGCCAGAAAATGTAGCCTGTCAAGGATTGGGCTATTCTTCAGCCCTCAGGTGGCATGTCAGTCACTAATTCTAACGTAAACACTTTGGGGGTTAGTAGATGTTTTCATTTATAAACTTCATAAAAGAGCTAAGCTGTGCTTTGCAATTTCACAATTTGGGAGTAAAAGGGATTCTTTCAGTGCTAGGCTCAAGGCAAAGATTGTTGTATTATTACTGTTATTTTTCTTTGGAACCTCAACAGAGGGTCAGAGCTGAGTGTATTGTTACTAGGACTTGGTCTCAGAAGAAGTGAAGAAGGCCAGGTTTTATGACAGACAGAGACTCCTTCACCCGTGTACTTAAAGGTGCTTGTTTCCCTCACCAGAAAATTAGTAATGAATGAAATTGAGTCCTCCAGCTCTTGATGGGTTAGTGGAATATACAGATGCCTATGATCTTGTGGAAAGGCCAAAAAGGGCTCATATTTCCTTAGTCTAAAACAGGGTAATATGTAGCCTCTAAATGGAATGTAATTAGTGAAATAGTGTGTAAAATTTTTTTAAATGAGAGTATATTTCTTATTCTTGATATGCATTATACATTACTTTCATTACACATAATTATATCAAGAGAGGCTTAGATCACATAGATGCTCCTTTACTGGAACTTATTTATATGAAGTCTGTTTTACCATTACTGCACATATATTTCATCTCATTTCATCTGCAAGGAAAACAGGACTCAAAATAGGTTTGATGAATCAGCCAGTGTTCCGAAAGCATCAAGTGATGGATCAGGAACTTGAATTCCATTCTGATCACTCAGAATTTGAAGCTCAGTAGCATGATACTATCATTTAATCAATTAAGCATATATGCATTGAGCTTCTGGCCCATAGGAGGTAACCATAGGTGACTAATGCTCATTGTTTTTTCCTCCAGGTCAGCATGTTGTCAGAGGAGAAATATCCTTAAAAACATGAACCTTTTGCTCTCCTCATCTAGGTTAGAAAACATGTGAAATGGGTGCATTTGTATAAGCGCATTTTTGTTAAGTTTTAATTATTATTTCACCTTTGTGACATCATGCTGATGTATACATAAATCAGACAGGACTGCACAGGAATTCCTGATAGGTAATTTGGACACTTGTAAAGTTTAAGAGTAGAGGACCAAAGGGTTATGAATAGGGGCTAGAACTGGAAGCTCTGACTTAAAAATGAATATCCAGTATTGAACACATTCACTTAAGAACAAATGCTACCACCAGTACCAGACAATTCAGAGTTTTGTTACGATAATTGCCTTAAAGGTATGTTGTAATCGAATTCCTCTTGAAGTCTATTAATACACAAGCAAATAGGAAAAGATGTCTACAGTTTCTAAATCCATTCTAACATCATTAAGGAGTGGTTCAGAAAATGTTGGTTCAAAGTATTGGTTGAAAATTATGATTCAGATTAGCCACAACTCATGTCAAAACCTCTCCACCTCTTCATTTCAGCTTCCCCAAATCCAACCATTTATTCTTAATTTTAGAAGTGCTTATTTTGTTTCTACTCTGTAAGAGGTGCTAGTCTTAGAACAGTGAGTGAAACAGACTTCACAGGTTTCTCTGAATGTAATTCCTGCCTTACTTAAATCATAGTAAGCCATTCTTACTAAGTAATGACATTCCTGTTAAGGTTTATTCCTGCGGTCTTTGTAATGCACACTCAGAATTTCTGGGAGTGAGAGCCTTTGCATTTCAGGACATCATCTTCTCCTGAAAGGCCAAGAGCCTCCATGGAACAAAGCAGACAGGCATCTCTGCCAGTTTCTCCACCGTGGAGACCAGCAGCTAAAATTCTTTGTATATTAATGCTAAAACTATCCATCCGTCCATCTGGTCTCTATACAGGGTAAAGAAGGATTCATAATTATCAGTGATTTTGAATTTGTAATTTGAATATCAAAATAAGTACTAATACTATGGATTATACTGAATAACACCCATGAGCCCACAGTAATATAAATAAATACAAAATTAAATTAGCGATAAAGAAAAGTATTCCTTGCAATAGAAGGACAACTCATAAGTAATGAAGGAATAATGAAGCTAGGAAGTTATCACTGGATATTGAAATTAGTGTGTAATATTTGATGATAAACATTAATTGCATCCTCTCAAAGTTTCTTCCCACAAGGTATTTATTAATTACAAAGGAAAAATCATACAAGTAGAGAACTCTGGCATACACTGACTTATCAGCTAATGATATGATTACTAACATTGGGACCAACTGTTATCAAATGTCTCTTGATATGATACACTGAGAAGGATGCGACATCACCTCTGTGTTACTCCTGAGAGACATGGATAATCTTTCTACCCAGGAAAAGGCATGGTGCCAACCCAATGCAAAATACTCTCCAAAACAATGAGTCTGTATTTTCCAAAAACGTCAAGATGAGGAAATTTTGAAACGCTAGAGAATGTTCCAGATT